TATTATTATTATTACAAACTGGTAAGTCCGACATTTTATGATAAACACTATCTTTAAATTTATTTATACCCGTTTGTGTAATTGGTCTATAAGTTAGGTCATGTTTGTGTGAAGCATGATGGTGTTCAAGAGAGGCTAATTGTCCACTATGATCAGAATTAATACAATTTATTATTGATTTATTAAAAACTTTCCTATTACAAAAAATATTATCCAAACAGGTTGCTGATGCATGTGTGATGCGGGTAGGTTCAAAGAAGATATGCTCCAAGTTATATGATTTAAATAAGTTTAGAAACCTACCCACTACAAATGTCACGGAAAGGCGAATCCGGGAGGTACAATTGCCCTGGAAAGTGGTGGCTGGCACACCGACACGTTTATCCCAACTTATCTCGTATTTATAGGAGCAATTGTAATATTGTGAGCACATCTGTCTCTTGCGAGAGGACGTTTAGCAAGGCCGGCTTAATTATATCAGACAGACGAGTCAGTTTAAAAAACCAAAAAGTACGGGAATTAATGTCTTTAAATGTAAATATAAACCAAAATAGATTTTCATTGTAAATACTATGTAAACTGTATAATATGCTGTAAATACATGATAAAAAAAAAACAAAAAGAAAAACAAACAAAAAAAAAATGTGTGTGTCAGCTCCGACGCACGACCGGAGTTTACACTCTAAAAATGATTGTCTTTGAACAGACACAAAACAAAATCAAGTCCGAAGAAGTCGGTTACAAGTAGAGATACCTCAGGAATCGTCCTATGGTTTCGACTATCATAGGTTCCATGTCACACATGTTATCATCTAACATCAGCGATATTCATCATATATTTTATTATGTATTTCTGGAAACACACAAATTCAAAAATATCACACACTAGTCATCATTTTGTAAATATGTATTATAATTTCATCTGTACTGAAAATCACTATTCCAGAGTGCTGGACACTTACCGGCATTTCTCTATATTCTGTTATTTATTTGTTTTCATTAATTTTGCCCTGATTTTATCTATTTTTAGTTTATTTATTTTATTGACATTTGTGACAACTTAATGTTTTTTATCAGTTGCCATGGCTAAAAGTGAAAGGTGCGCAGATGAGGTTGCGCACAAAAACGTAACGAGGTCATTCATCGATAGATTTTACTCCTCACATTTTTCTCATACCGGGCCCCTTATATATGCAAATCGATTCTTAAGGAGTAAACTCCAAAAATATGAATAAAAGATATGATTGTATAAATGATGATGAAGTAAAAAAAACTGTAAATACCTAACAATATCATGTACATAAGATGAATTTTTCAGTTCGCCAAAATAGTATTTCTGCCAGTCCTAAGCTTGGAATAAGTATGAAAGGAAGTTCGTTCTTATGTGAAATCCATATCGATCCAAGAAAGCATTTTATGAGACCGTTTCATAAAAATGTTTTTCCTAGAAAAAAAAACCCGTTTCATTTCGTTTTTTTAAAACGTTACTGCCCAGCTCTAATTCACAGATGTCAACCGTTTTTTTTTTGGTCAATTTGTTTCTGTTGAGACGGGCAAAGGATTCTGAGTCCATACAGCCCTGTCTATAAATTACTGTTTTTTTTATTTGGTGGATGAATACGAATGTTTCTAAAATTAAAATAGGACGGGAATTTAATACAGAATTATTTAAAAATCAAGATAAACCATTTTAAATTGTATTTCATAAGCAAGAAGAACTTTTAGAACACAAGGTCGTATGGGTACTATACTACCCAAGGACGTTTTACTCCATTTTAGATTTGGGTAATTAGGTACCCATGGCCGCTTCAGCTGAAGAACATTTTCAACAGTTCCATGTGTTTTTTAATGATCAATTGCGTTACATTTCTTAACAGAACAATTTAAATGCTCAGCCATTCTTCTGTACGCCCACTTACGATCTATAAGTAAATTATGAATTATTTGCCTGTTGACGCGTCACTTTAATTTTTGCCCATTTTGAACAAAATAGAAGTTCAGATTACATTTTGAATTGCTGCCAATGTAATAGAAAAAGTCAAGAAAGAAATGTTATTCTTCAATTTCAAAACAAGAACGAGATGTGAATGCTTTTTTAAAATATTTCTAATAGGGCGTCCCGCTTGGACGCTCAGTAACAGAAAATAAACTACTACATGTGTATGACTCATTTTGTAATGAAAATTAAGATATGTTTTATATTTTCTGTATTTAATGAGTTTTTTATTTGAGTGGCTTTTTTTGCATGACATGAATATTTGTACGGTGAAGTTATACTTTCTTTATTCATAAGAAGTGTTTTTAATTATATGACCACCACTGTACTTATATAATAGGTAATTTGTTTAATTTTATTTATATTTTCTGAATTATATTTTAAAACCCTTCACTTTAATACCCCGCTTGAAAGGTTTTAAGCAATGTTTTTTCCAAGGTGTTATATTTTGGTACCAAATACATATTAATAATATTTGATGCATGAAACAAGTTTTTAAATAAAATGGACTATCAAAGTGAAGGTTTTTAAAAGACTGTTTTTTTTATTTAAATATACCCAGTTTTACTTACATAATCACGACAAATCAAATACCTCGCAAGTCAAGTCATTCTGGCTGTATACTGCGACTTAACTAAGAATAGGACCGACTGGGCGCCATATTTGGAAGTCATAATAGGTAGTGAGCAAAATAAAGATTTTATTTAATAAAACTTCTAACGAAGATTAAGTGAGAAAAAACATCAGATTTGTTTATTAAAATATTTACTAAGATTGAGAAAAAAAAACAACTAATTTTTAATAATATTTATTTATTAAGACTGTTTAAAAAAAACATAAATCAGAATCTAGCTCTTCAATTCCGCTCATCTCTGCATTACCGCCGAATAATCATGCACTATTACTAGGTTACATACGAACATGCATCCTTAAGTAAACGAAAGTTTTAAATTGAGTTTCTGAACGCAACTTATAGTGACATTTCGTTGACGTTTTAGGCTATCAACCATTCATAGCCAAAGCTCAATAAATGAAAAACAATATCAACCAATATTAATTATCTATATTTGTTATTGTTTGTTTACAAATGTATGGTTTTAATTCTAGAACTAGCAGTGCTAAAAAAGGGTTCCAAGTTTTATTTGCAAACCGTACTTTTCAAGCGACATTTGACAGTTGGAGGTCATTGGCTTTCCTATTCTGATCTACACCTCGCATTGTAGGGCGTGCCAAAGAAACGGAGATACATACTTAAACATATACACTACAAAAACGTTACCCTCCGCCAAGTCGAGTAAAAAGTAGCCTTCGCCATCTTGGATAACAATATTATTGTCGTATTCTTAATCAATCAGCACTCTCGAAAACTATAAATAATACATTATTGGTTAGAAAACTCCGAAGAAGCGGTATATTAAAGTCTAACAGCATCCTTAAATAAATGATACGGAACAAGAGGATAGCGTGACTCACAAACATACAGCGCCATCTATCGACGCAACGGCTTAAACACATGTCTTAACAGTTTTCTTCCCTTTTTGTTTGAATCTAAGGAAATACCCTATTAAGTCTGTGATGCACATTAATAACTAATGAAGCATAACTAATAAAATACTGCAACCTAAGTATGTAGGATTCCCAAATAAATAAATTCTTAAAAAAATATTCTTAAAGCTTAATTAACATTTTTGTAAATACAATCACATCACTTCCGGACACACCTATCGGCCTTACGCTTGCCAGATGGCCGGGAAATCCGGAATTGTCCCTGAATTTTGCATCTTGTCCCGTGTCCAGTAATTAGACCTTATTGTCCCGGACTCCGATAATGTGCTAGTTTCGTAACAAAATAAACTAATAACGAATAACACCGCTGGCCTGCTTGATGTTTTAATTCTGGGGGGGTGATGGGGGGTTTCATTTGACAATTTGCAAATGTCCCGGAGTGGATAAGCCAACATGCTGGCAACCCTAATCGGCCCATATAACATTTTAAGTTTTGACGGTCCCTAGCTATTAATGTTACAATGAGAAAAAAGTTATTACGCTCGCTGTTTTGAAGCTGATATATTAAACATCTTTTCGTGTGTTTTTAAAATTATAGCTCAATAACAAAACATATAATTTTGCTACAGACCGTTGAAATTTATAACACCGAGTGAGCTGATAGATGTGTCCGGAAGTATACAACAATGAAGTTGTTATTATTAAATCAAGACCCTTCTGCACCTTTTCAGTGGAACAAGTGCTTTAAACTCAACGGCATCATAATGCTAGCACTTCATACGGCTTCGTGTATATATCGTTGTTGTATCTGTTACTGACAATCTGTATAATTCAGCATTCTATACAATGGTGTCGATTCTGGTATGATTTTCTAAACTAAAAACTAAATTTAACTTCAGTCTCTCCTTTTCATTTTGTATAGAGAAAGACAAGGAGGTCCCCTTAGAATCGCGCTGCCCCGAACCCGGTGAAGCCGTCATTAAGGTTAATAAAGTCATCTGTGACCAATAGCATACACATTAAAAAAAATATATTATGGGTGATAGGGAAAGATACTGGACAATTCAAAAGAACTTTCTATGTATAAGACAATTTGAATAAGATATAATTTCATTTCATTTCATGCAATGCCCATTTAGGGGCCTGTAATGTCACCACCACAAGTTAATATTTGACAATATTCTGGCTAATGCACATAGCATATTTTTTAAGCAACCTCTTGCAGGATTGCAATGCTAAGATTCGCATTGCAATCCTTGTATTTGAAAATTCCATCAGTCAACTATGATGAAAATGTCAAAATCTCCAAAAAGTGCACATAGCAGATATTGGTTTGACAACATAAATATGCTTTTTGTATACTTTACACAAGTTAATTTTTAACAGGTTCTAAGGGATTGAAATGAGTTTGCTGTCAAATTCACAAATCGCAAATATGAATACAGTGCGTAGATCTTAATAAACATGAGTGACAGTTCAGGGAGGCCTCCACAGTCTATATGTAATTGGCATACAAAATATGATCATTACAAAGACGGCAGCGTTAGTTCCAATGTTCGCCACATTCATAAAGATCTTGGTAGCTCTGTAGCCATGATAAAGTGCCAGCATTTTACAGATGCAATAACAATGTTAAAATTAACCATAAAACAGCCAATTTCTGTTGCTTTAGGCTCGTCCTAGTGGTACTATGAATGAAAGTGCATCTCCAGTCGCACCCCACGATGCTCTCCTTAGCTGGAATATTGTCACCCACACTATCAGAGCTGTTGCCCATACTAAAGCTCCACCAGCGCTCATCAATACATCTAAAAATAAATTTATATTGTAAATGTTAGTACAGTTAGCACTTTTGACTGCAATCGTAAAAGTCAAGAAACTTTAGCAATGGTCAGTCATTAGATGGGAGACTAAAAATTTACAATCTCAAGCTCCTCCATGCTTCAGAAGGCATGTTAAGCCATTGGTCCTGGCTGCATCTGCAGTTGTTAGCACCCACTAATACACACTGGGCCCGTGTGGTGGGTCATAGCCCAATCTCCCTATTCCATCCATAGGGAAGGCCTGTGCCTCAGCAGTGCAGTGCATTAAATGGCTAAAAACGATGAATGTAAGTATAATGCAAGACAAAATAGAGATTCTTTTCTCTCCTGACAATAGACTTAACTGGTTGGTGCAATGGAAGAGCTTGTACCTTCTGTTCCAGTGTGTTCAAATTCTGATAGTGACATTTATATTATAATGCCATAATAGGACTGATGTTGTGAATAATTTTAATCATATGTGAGACCTCATAATGTAATAGAATATAGAATAAATAGGTTTTCTCGCACATCACTCATTAAATAAAACTAGTTTTAATGGGTTATATAAATAAATAAAGTTTCGTGCATTAACCCGTTAAAACTAGTTTTACTTAAATAAGTTTATTTTTAAATTATTAAACTTACATTTCTTTATTTGTTTTTGTTCTTCAAATGGTGACTTTATGAAAGCTTCTTTGAAGAACCATATTGCATTCACAGCCCACACAAATGGTAAAAACATACAGCCAACTGGAAAATAATATATTTGTTAACCATTTTTTTAATAAATAAGAATTTACAGACAAGTTATGAAATTGTAAAAATTGTGAGTCAGAATCTTGTTAATAATTAAACTACCAGAAAGCTTTTTTTACCTTTGAAATACCACCTGCACAGTTGTAGTTTCTTTTCGTTAGGTAGCCTATTAAGATCCATTGTGTGGCGTTAATAATATTATTTTTGCTAAAAGCTAAAAGTATCAACAAATGCAATAGCTCAAGGATCAAACCATCAGGCTACGTTCAATACCTACACTTCAGTTTCGGTGCAAGATAGCAAATGTCAATTTGACATATTGCTTCATACAAATATGTCAAAATTGAACCGTCTCACGGTAAAAAGTTGATAAAGACATATATTTATATTAGGTTTTGAACGCAGCCCATAGATAACAAGAGAAATTAGAATCCGAAAACGTCAGCGTTCACAGATTAGGAGACCATAAATTTCTCCTCCTCTGGCTTCATCTCTCTGCTTCACCTCTAAATAAGTGTCATAGGGTAGGCTGTATACTTTCCAAGTATACTGAGAAAACAGTTCCCTGAGAATTTGATAGATAAATTCTTCTTATTACTATATTTATTTTCATTATCTTCGTCAAAAGTATGGTCAAAAATATCTGCGTTTTATTTCTTACATTTTTTTATCATAAAAACAAATAAATAAATTAAAGTTTAAATAATCGCGCCTTTTTGTAAAAGTCCGCCAACGAAGTACCTAAACCAGGTATGATCCCAAAATAGCTGACAGCCAAATTCTGGCATAAGATAACGCAATCTCTTAAAATATTGTCTCAGTTCAAGAAACTAATAAGATTGCTACTTATAGTACGTAGTAGTATTATAAACACTATTGTGTGTCTGTTTTATTGAATCTTTATAAACAGAAACTTCTTTCAATATTGGTTAAAATTTAATAACATTGAATAGATCTTTTTAATTAATTATGATTTTTTTTGATGACAAATCGATTTTTCTTTTCTATTGCGCGCACCTTATATCAAACGATTTATTCCAATTTTATTTCATAATTTCCAATAAGGCAAAGTTTCTAACCACTTACTTTCATTATTACATACATAAGTATAAAATGTAATTACAATTAATTACAAAGAACCTCTCACCCTAAACACTCTTTACTTTATTATACCTTCTCTGTTCCGTCGTGGTTGCAGTCGAAAAACAAAGAGTGACTACAAAATACTGTAAATGAAGTTTGACAGCGTGCTAGCAAGATTCTATAGCCTAGCATTCACGTACGGACAGTTCCGGCGGATTTGTCCGCCATCGGTTGCACTGCGGCTGCGACTAATCCGCCAGTGTATATAAGCGACGAACCGGTACGCCAGACTGTCAAATGGGTCGGCGCCGGTCTGCGGTCGCGACACGCGAGCGTCCGTCCATCTCCGCCGACTCAGTTAGTGAGAATACACCTTAGTAGACTTAAATGACTATACATTGCTCGTTTATTTCACCACTCCTTTGTCCAAACACCTTTCTTTTTTCTATTTTCTGATAAAATCATTATTCCGCCGATGAATAAAGCTATTTTTCCTTTCTCTGCTAGTACAAGCGGCATATTATAAACGCGTGTAGGGCTCACCAAAATCACACTTCGAGTGGAGGGTTCGTACAGTGTATGGGCAACGCTGGATTGGTCTCGATCGGGCCCGAGTCAAGTGTCGGGTCCGGGTACGTGTAGTAAATGGTTTGCTTAGTCAAATAAATATGGTACTTAGTTCGAAAAAAATTGCAAGTATTAATATTTTTTTTATTGGTGGACGCATTGAAAACATGTTACCTACTTGATTTCTCAAGTAGTATGTAGCTAGCGGTATATATTTTTTTGTTCTAATGAGTTTGTCAATATCATAATGTAATTTTTAATGGATTGTTTTATCTATTGCTTTGATGAAATACCTTTAATAAAAGATATAAGTATTTGATATAAACAAAAAAAAGGGACTCCTATCTTGTTGAATAGAAAGACTAATTTCTTAAATGAGTGCGTCATTCGAAGTTTTGGGCGAGATCTAATAAAATTTATGAAAATACCTGTACCTGGTTTACATACTTTGAGGGTGATACCTAGTAAAAACAGTTCAATATTTACGCATCAACCCTAGTAGCGCAGTGTTTGACATGTGCAGTGGCAGACCACAACAAAAATGGCGTAAATCGCTTTATTGTCAATGTTAGTAAAATGTACAAAAAATAAATATGTTTTCCTCAATTATGTTGTTGTTAATTAGTGTTATATTATTTATTTTCACACCTGAAACATGTGAGTATTTATGTATTTTCTATTATTGTGTTTTAAAACAGAGTAATGGTCTTGTCCATCATTACTACTGCTTGTGATGTAGCAAGCTTTTTTAAATTTCTTGTGTTTTGACTTTTTGGGCCTCCGGAATCCCTGCGATATGATAATCAGCTTATTTATAATTGATCAAAGCTATTCAAGGTCAGTTCTTAAAACAAGGTTTGTAACAAGATGAGTTGTGGCATATTCTATGGAAGGTATCAAAACTGTTTAAGCAAAATAATCTTTTAATTATAGAAAAAGTCCTTTCACTTTTTTTGACATCCTAAGGTTAACTATTATTTAGAAAGCAGGTCTTTTTTATTGGCATAATCTGAAGGAACAGGTTTTGTGATAAATTTTCTTTCGACATCATTATTCAATGTAAAAGGAATTTATCATAATGGAATGGAAATTATCATACATAAGATGATGATTCAGCTTAATAGCAATGATAATGTCCTTCGAAATAAAGAATCACGTAAATAGGGTGAGAAATAATAAAAACCCACTTGATAACTATAAAATAGTTATTTATTTTATAATATAAACTTTCCGAACAATACAATAATATTTTTTTATAAACAACAGTGTTGCCTAGTAACGTCTATGGTGTTAGTATAGTCATTAGTTGTTCATAACTTAATACATAAAAAAACTTACTGGCGGAATTGAGAACCTCCTCTTACTTGAAGTCTGTTAAAAATAGGGGATCACTTTTTGTATGAATATTAATGTATTCTTTGCTTATATACTATCAGTTATAGTATACGACTAAGTTATTGTATGCATATGTAGTATCAGTTATGTTATATGATGACCTTCTTGTCGAGTGGTCAAGTATGCTGGGTTTTATGATGTTGCCTACTTAGCCTAGCCTCAAAGTAAGCGCTGTAAGGCTTATGTTATGGGATACTTGGGTGGTAATTGGGTGTTAGAAATATTAATTTATTTATTCATTTGCAGGTGTATCAGAAGTGCTCCCCTCCCCCTCGTCTCTGTATCTCTACAGTCCCGGCTCGCTGGACTTCACAGACGTGATAGTGAAACGGGTCGGTGACAACCTGACGCTGATATGTGAGATGCGAGGTGATACTCCACCTCCTGCGTATTTTGTGTGGAACTACATGGCTGCCAATGATAGCCTCGCTGCTGAAAGGTAAGAATCTTAGGCTATAAAACATTTTTGTTATTTATTTATTTGTAATTACCATGGCATAATACCATTCACAGCAATTAGTTAAAAAAACAACAAAGAATTACAAACATGAGGATCCTCACTAATTTTTCTCACGAAACATTTGATAGAAATACAAGATGGAGGTAAACAAACATTAGGCCCGTCTGATGGTAAGCTTCTAGACTAGATGCTTGTGATACCAAAAATATTACTTGCCTACTATGGATCCAATTTATTCTCCCCTGAGAAGGGCTCCCCTGGTGGAAGCAGGGGAGTAAAGGCTGCAGGTCCTCAGATGCGATACTCGATCCTGAGGCCCCTTACAATGCCTGATGGCGGCCGTCGCTGGGGTTTTAGTGGGTAGGTCTCCCCCTTCTGGGGAGGAGAGCCCCTCATAACCACCATGTGGTAGGTATGCAATTTTATGCATTTCCCCAGCACATCAAAAAAAAAAGTGTTTATAGTGAACCAAGAATTATAATTAGTGAAGGTACTAATATTTGAGTTGCCGAACGAGCTCGATGGCGCAAGTGGTTAGCGCGTTCGGCTGCGATCGTTGAAGTTAAGTTTCGCAGTGGTCGGTCATTGGATGGCTGACCAAAAATCTTTAGTCGTTGGTTCCGGCTGCATCTGCACTCGTTAGCACCCGTTAATCCGCCCTTGGCCCGTGTTGTGGTTCCCACAGGGAAGGCCTGTGCCCCAGCAATGGGGGTATTAATAGGCTGATGATGATGATGAAGGTACTAATATAGCTTTAAGTGTATTGTTACTAGAGGATTCGATCCCGGTCGATCCCAGGATCCTGGTCATATTTTAGCCCCGAAATTTTCGGTATTAAATGTAATGAATCCCGGTAAAGTATAATCTTGTTTTATTTTTTAAAGATTTAACGATAGATTTAAAATAAAAAATTGATTTTGATATGTTTTACTGTCTTTTTGTTACCACTTCCTATTACCAATACAATCCCGGGACTATCCCGGGATTTACTGTAGATTTTCTCGAAATCCCGGGATTTGATAAATTGACTGGGATCGAATCCTCTAATTGTTACTAACATTATGGATAATCAATGTTTGTCTAAAGTAAATATTTAATTATAATAATATAGATTTTTGTTGCACTTTACTAAATTATTTGTCAATATTGTCCCTTCTAGTCCTCCGTACTCATTATGGAGTAACGGCACAATAAGTCAGCTGAACCGCACCTCTATAACGGAGGCAGATAGCGGCCGGTATTTCTGTGCCGCGCCGCCTCACAGCCAGGCCAAATATGTACTGGTGCAGCCACAAGGTATGCCAACTATGTTTATATATATTTTTATTTTTATGCATTTAATTGATAGATGCTTGAATCCGAAAAAAAAAATTTTTAAGTGAAACTTCTTTACGCTCCCTTGACTTGGGGGGTAAGCTGGCGAATGCGTTACGCGTTACGAAAACTGTGTTCGGGCGAGGCGAACGATAGTTGAGTGGGGGATATAAGCAAGAGAAAGCAGTGCGCGCGCACATTTTCTTTCTCTCTTTCTCTTATAGCTAGTAAATGAAATTATGTATATGTACACACTATATTATATATTGTACACACTTTATATATATATACAGATGGAGCTAAAGAAGTTTCACTTGAGTTGTGTGGTATTTTTTTTTTATTAGAAAAAATCCACGTGGACCTCCTGCGTGAACACATGCGTCAAAGAGTTATGACTGTTCGAAATGCAAGCTCGCAAAATTTCATGACTTATTACTATATATGCGGAAGAATACAGACCTTATTTCTTTGAATTAAAACAAAATATTTCTTTAGATTTACATATAAACTTTATTAGTATTATTTACACTATTTGTATTTATACAGTATGACACAGCAATCAAAATGCAGATGAACAATTAATGTATATTTCACATTATGTAATGAAAGGTGACTTCATGAATCATGTCTAAAGTCATATTAAACTTAACGACTGTAAATAATAAACCAGGGAGAAAAAATCAGTCCTTGCTAGGGACGCAAACGATACATCGATGTTTGTAAAACATCGAGGTATCAGTTTTATACCGAATGCTCTATTCGGTATAAGAATGCCCGTGGTATTGTTAATTGTTTCAATAAAGCATCCTATTAAAAATAAAAAAACCGACAAAAACATCGATATTAGTGATGTAACGAATATTCGCATTAGCATTCGCGAATATTCGCATATTTTTGAATATTCGCATTCACATTCGCATTCGCAAAATCTCTGCGAATGTTTTGCGAATATGAATATTAGAAAAAATCAATTTGAAGAAGTTGTAGTTTTGCCTTTCCTTGAATATTCATTGTTACACAGTTTGCATGTAGCTCGTTCAGCATCGCAAAGTGTGAAATAAAAAAAGGAATTCAAAATAAAAAAAGGACGACCTCCTCCTCAGTGGGTGAGTTACAGGCCACTAAGTAATGTACTGGTAGACCAACTAAATAGAGACTTAGAAGCTATTAATTGGGATCAATTTTATGAACTCGATAGTGTAAACAACCAAGCTGAAATTTTTACACAGTGTTTAACGGCTTTATTCGACCTGCATGCCCCCATAACGAAAAAAAAATTTAAACATCCACCACACCCCTGGATTACTGATTGTGTCAAATCCATGATGCGAATAAGGGATGCCTACCATGAACGCTTCAAGCTGCAAAAAACGGAGGCTCATAGAATATGCTACAGAAACATGAAACAGCTTGTGGTGGAGGCCATTAACATTGAAAAAAAATGCTATTTTGCTCAGCATATTAACAACTACAGCAAAAACTCTAAAAAACTTTGGCGCAACCTTAAAAGCGGTATAATTGCTGATAATAAAAAGACTGTAGATATTCCAGCACATCTCAGTGACCCTGACCTTGTTAATGCGCACTTCCTCAATATACCGGGCAATGGGCAGGTAACAATATCGCAGCTCACATATTTTGAGTTCCATAGATACGGACCTGCAGTTTTCTCCTTGCAGACTGTATCGTAGGATACTGTTCTGAAAACCATCAAAGGATTCAAGTCTGATGCACAAGGACATGATGGTCTGTCACTAAATATGATACAGTTGACCCTGCCGCAAACTCTAAAGGCCATCACAACCATTATTAATAGGTCCATTATAGATGGTGTCTTCCCTGATAGCTGGAAGGTTGCTGTAGTTAAGCCCCTGCCTAAAGTCAGCAACCCGACCACCATGAATGACTTGAGACCTATTAGCTTGCTCCCCTTTGTGTCTAAGGTCTTGGAGAAAGTTGTTTGTGAGCAACTTATAAGATACCTAGAGACTAATAATATATTACCAGAGCGACAGTCTGGATTCCGTCGAGGTTATAGCACAGCAACTGCCTTAGCAGATGTTGTGGATAACCTTCTAGCAGCCCAGGATCAGGGGAACCTTAGTATCCTTTTATTGCTTGATTTTTCAAGGGCGTTTGACGCAATAAATGTGGATCTCCTGCTTTCTAAACTGGCTTACTATGGAGTTAGTGCCCAATCAATAAAGTGGTTTCATAGTTACCTTGGAAATAGACAACAGTGCGTTGAGCTGACTAGGATAGATGGAACCAAACAGCGCTCCAACAAGCTCATGGTGACCCATGGTGTCCCTCAGGGTTCAATTTTGGGACCCACTCTGTATGTTTTATTCAGCGGTGATATCACAGAAAATATAAGCCACTGTCAATATCACTTGTATGCAGATGACCTGCAACTGTATCTTCCATTCAAGTACTCTGACCACAATAATGCTGTAAATAAGATGAATGAGGATCTAAATCGTATTTCCGATTGGTGCAGGTCGAACTCGCTGGTTCTCAACCCAAAAAAAACTAAATTATTATTAATAGGTTCCAAAAAGAATGTTAAATTTTTTGAAGACATGACACTTAATATAAATATAGATGGAGAGAGAATAGAACGCGTAAATTATGCTAGAAATTTGGGACTGATTATGGATGAACAACTTAGCTTCGAAAGTCACATTGCTGAATGTTCCCGCATTTGCTTTTATAGGTTAAAGCTGCTGTACAATATTAGACCCTATTTAAGTGAGGAGCTGAGAATCAAGTTGTGTGAAATGCTCGTACTTTCAAAGTTAAATTACTGTGATACTGTTTTTGGACCCTGCCTAATGTCCAGAACTAGTAAGATCATTCAACGCATACAGAATGCTTGTGCTCGTTTTTGTTTTTATGTGCCTCCTCGTTCACACATAACTCCCTTTTTGAACGCCGCAAAACTTTTAAAGATGGAGGCAAGGAGGAAGTTACATCTAGCTACCTTATTATTTGATGTTCTGGACAAAGGAAGGCCAAGCTATCTCTATAATAAGCTTGTATGGATGCGTGACCAGAGTAGATACCCGGTTAGACGGTGTTGGCCTGTCTTCTTTACCATGAAGCACCGAACAGCAGCATTTCGTGGATCCTTTCGGTTTGCAGCCTCAAAATGCTGGAACGATCTTCCCCCGCCCGTGCGTGATCTGAAAACCATTGGAACATTCAGAAAACATTGCAAAATATATCTACTTCATATACAAAGTTCATCATAGGATTCACGACACGACTTACCTAGTTTTTTCACTTCGCGTCGGTTTGTTTGAATCGTTCCGGTTGTGTTAGCTGGCACTATCGACGATCGGCGTAATGTTTGTCTGTTATTATAGCCATATCCTTATAAAAAATCTCGCCATCCATCTTGCTTTCACCACGTTGGTATAGTAATGTAAGATGAAAAATTGTATTTGTAGCTGAATTCCTGTGTATTTGCTGATTATTTGTTGTTTTGCTGTTTTTGCATACTGCCTTATTTTGTTTGTCCTCTCTTGCTGTCTATTCTTAGTTACACACAGGCATAAATCGGCAGCGAAATTACTATTATTGTTTTTGCAACATAAATACTTATTTAATTGTGTTTAAAGTTTAAGGTTAGTGTTTTTATTTTTTTGGAGGTTCAGTTTGTACTCTGTGAACTCTGTCCTCCCACAGATTAGTCATTCTTTTTTTTATTTTATTTTTTTACTAAATCTTTGCATTGTCTAAAGGCTAAGATTGTAAAATTATACAGCCATTCCATTTTCTTTTTTTCTCTTTGATATGTATTTATTGGTATGCTTGTTTCTTTTTGTGTATTATTGTTGTTTTTATTAATTATCTGTGTCATCAACCATAGGCCCTGCCAGAATTATCAGCGCTGCAGCATCCCTGGTGTTGCTGTAGTATTCAAGCTGAGGCAGGGACCTAGTTGGCCTATTTTGTCTTGTTTTATTTATGTAAATGTTACTGTGTTTAAGGCTAATAAATTTATTTCTATTCTATTCTATTCTAAATAAGTCCATGTTTCACTAGAATTCGATTTACTCATGTTAATAAATTACTATTACCACTCACAATCACTAACCTCAAAATTCACTTGTTTTGTTTACGGAAAGACCGGTGCGAGCGGAATGACACTTCAGTCGGATGAGTTCATATCAACTCGGCAATTCGAACGAGACTGCCACCATGCCATAGATAATTGGCGCCATTTTAAAAAAAAAACTAAATATTCGCATTCGCGAAAGTTCAAAAAATGACATTCGTTACATCACTAATCGATATATCTCTCTTATCAACGATATTTTTGAACATCCATGTTTTTCATGCAAACATCGATGTTTTAAAATATCGATGTTTTTCAGAACGATGTTGCATCCCTAGTCCTTGCTGAGTTTCTTGCCGGTTCTTCTCAGTACAAGGTCTCCCGCCGTAAATTTACGAACCGATGGCGTAGCTTCTAGACATTCATGGGAACTTACAGCCTAAACTGAATAAATGATTTTGATTATAAATACAACAAGTTTCAACCTGTTTGATGCACTGACACTTCGTCGGAATAATGAGTTTTTGTTTACTCTGTACTATTTTACTATTTTCGAAAGACTTTCAGTGAGCTTTCGGATAATTCATTGAAATATTTTTAAAAACTCTATTGTCTATGTATAATTTTTTAGCAAATCTAATTAATAAAGTGTTTTATTTAATTTTCTTTTATAATTTTGAGTTCATTTATTTTACCTAAGTCCCTAACTACCGTAAACAACCACCGGTTTCAAAATTGGGAGACCTTTCTGAGAAGAACCGGCGAAACAAACTCAGAGACGCTTTCTATCTCCTTCTTATGTTAAATCATGCAAATAAAAAGAACTAATAGTATCTGTTGGTCTTGCAGTGTGTGCTCGGGGTAGGGGTTTTATCTGTCGTATAATGGGTTCCCAAACTGGTGGTATATACCAACCATCTTCTCTATTGAAATTTGGATACTTCTTAATCTCAATAGCTTCGCGTATCATCCTAGGAATTAACCGCTGTTCAGTTGCAAGATTCAGTCAAATTTAATGTAATGGTTGGGTGCCCCCAATGCATGTTTAATGAGTGATGTGTGTGAGTTCTAAGAAACAAAGGAGATTGCTCAAATTGGCCCAAATGCACAAAAAATATTGACATATACGGTAATCTAAGGAAAAGTTTACTAGAAAAATATCCACGCGGACCAGGTGCTTTATTTTACAGTCATTAGATTTTAACGGACACCTTTGTATAATATGTTCATTTTAAAAAGGACTTTTAATTTTACCGGTTTGAAAAACATACGAATCATTTTTAATGGCTATGGGTGTAGTAACATTCAGCCAAAGAGTTTAAAAATTCTCTCTAATCTGCGGCTCATTCACAATCATCAAACAGTTTCTGTCACAGAGTACCTCCCTTATTATAACCGGAAATGCATAGATGATACCTGATTTTAAAAGTTACGAGTAACTTTAAAACCGGCAACTATCTGTTAATCTACATGCTCTTTATACTCAAGTATATATCTAATACATAATTTAGGTACTTGGCTTGATTTCCCTAGTTCACTATATAACTTATTTGTTTTTTATTAGTTTAATACCCATGTACCTCTTTGCAAACATAACCTCAAAATCGTTCAGTGTATATGGTTTATAGAAGTTTTCAGGTGTCCGTCAATAATGTTCGTTTCTACAGTAATTTATATATAATTTCGAATCCAGGAAACAATTTTTCATGATTATTGGTCTTTAGGCCAAACATGTATGGAAGCTGAGCAATCTCCTTTGATTATGATTATCTCGGACAGGCGGGAGACTATGTGCGTCGACCGCGCTTCGTTGCGGGTCTCGCTGCGTGCTCGCGACAAACGTTTGTGATGGCAGACCGGACTGTCTGCACGCAGAAGATGAGGACGAAGAGCTGTGCGGAGTCAGGCCTTGTGACCGTCAGTATATAGTATAAATCTTCTGCTAGAAGACACTAGTAGACAATTATGACACTAATATACAAATAAGTTACTAATATACGAATAAGACACTAATATACAAATAAGGCACTAATATACGAATAAGACACTAATATACATATAAGACACTAATATACATATAAGACACTAATATACATATAAGACACTAATATACATATAAGACACTAATATACGAATAAAACACTAATATACAAATAAGACACTTATAAACAGATAAGGAGGCGTTTCTAAGACCCTAAGTATACTCCAAACTTCTCTCTTTTAGCACTAAAATACGAGGCAAGAAATAATAAATAAATAAATATAAATATTTCCAACACCTACACCAATTAGCCTAGCCCCAAAGTAAGCACTGTAAGGCTTGTGTTATAGGATGGGTAACGGATAGAATACATATATAGTACATAATTATATAAGTATGTTTATATAGAAATACATATTAAACATCCATGACTGGAGTACAAATGCTCGTGTTCATCACACAAACATCTGCCCCCACCGGAATTCGAATCCGGGACCTCTCGAGTCGGTGACACCATGGAACCCGGCGTACAAACCACTCAGCCACGGAGGTCGTCAATAAAATATTCCTGCTGATGCCGGAGGTATTGCTACTTCACTGCCTCTAATATTAAGTCCTGCTTAAGATTACAGAAGCATAATAGTAAATTATGTAAGTGTATAAATGTTTCAGTCAGTGCAATCTTAACTGCTTTATTGTCAAGTAATAAGTGTTACTTAATAGGGTATTTGACAAGTTTTAGAAAACGATCTCACGTTATTGACTAATGTTTATGGAATCCGTAAAAAGTGGATATTCATCTGTTGTGTATTTCAGTAAAAATAACCAAATCAAAAACTCTATTTTCAAGTTGCCACGAAAACGTTTCTCTGGACAATATGGCGTGTAACTAGTGTGTGACGTCACACGACTGTTATTAAAACGTCAAACGATAATGTCACTTAACCGGAAGTTTACTTGCGTGTGACGTCATTTTAGCCATTTTTGGTTGTTTGTGTTTTTAATATTACGATACATATTTAACGTAGTTTTTTTCTTCAGACGATTTAATAATTATTTTGAACACAAAATCGGTTATTGTGATTAAACCATTATAGCTTGATATTCGAGTCCTTACCGCCAAATTATCAACAGAGATGGGTCCGTTACGGTTTAAAATATTAATTTCCACAAAAAACGCATTTCGACAAAAGTGTCGCTTACGATAATTTGGCGAGTGTCGCTTACGATAATTTGGCGGTAAGGGCTCGATATGTTCTCGCGGACTTTTTTGTAGGTTTTAATGGGATCTACAAACCCGTAGTACATCATTTTGTTCTATGGTCAATAGTTTTTGCAGCGCACGCAAAAATAGGTTTTCGATTTTAAACCTTTTGTTACAAAATAGCAATTTTATTACGGATCCCTAATTTTGAAAAAAAATAGCCTATAGCCTACCTCGATAAATGGACTACCCAATACTGAAAGAATCATTCAAATCGGACCAGTAGTCCCAGAGATTAGCGCGTTCAAACAAACAAACAAAATCTGCAGCTTTATAACATTAGTATAGATAAGTCACTAATATACGAATAAGACACTAATCTATACTTATAATAAATCTGTAGAGAGGTCAATTCTGTACATGAAATATATTTTCAAAAGAACTATCAGGGGGTGATTAGTGATCGATACTGATGCCAAAAATGCAATCAGTATTATTTTTGTCTGTCTGTCTGTCTGTGTGTATGTTCCTTATAGAAACAAAAACTACTCGACGGATTTTAACGAAACTTGGTACAATTATTCTTCATACTCCTGGGCAGGTTATAGTATACTTTTCATCACGCTACAATCAATAGTAGCAGAGTAGTGAAGAGAAATGTTGGGAAAACGGGAGAAGTTACTCCATTTTTTAAGCTTCCGTCGCGTGTGCAGCCTTAATGGTTAAAGTTACATAGAAATCATGTATGACGGAAATATTCTACATAAAATTGTCTAAAAAATATCCCGCAACAGCATATGTCTATCTATTATGGTTGACTCACAATAACACGTGTAATTATATAAATAAAGTCATTGTTTATAGCACAAGCCTGAGAACAAAAACTATAGTTTACACTGCAGCTCTACACCGAAGCGAAGCGAGGGCGGGCCACTAGTATACAAATAAGACACTTATAAACATATAAGGAGGCGTTTCTAAGACCCTAAGTATACTCCAAACTTCTCTCTTTTAGCATTAAAATATTCCTGGTGATGCCGGAGGTATACATATACTACTTCACTGCCTCTTATTTTAAGTCCTGCCTCATTCTCCTCATTTTAAGATTACAGAAGCATAATAGTAAATTATGTAAGCGTATAAATGTTTCAGTCTGTGCAATCTTAACTGGTTTATTGTAAAGTAATAAGTGTTACTTAATCGAATTGTCGATCGAGGAGTTCGATGGCGCAAGTGGTTAGCGCGTTCGGCTGCGATCGTTGAATTTAAGCAACTTTCGCAGTGGTCGGTCATTGGATGGGTGACCAAAAATTACTATCTCGAGCTCCTCCGTGTTTCGGAAGGCGCGTTAAGCCGTCGGTCCCGGCTGCATCTGCAGTCGTTAGCACCCACCAATCTCCCTATTCCATCGATAGGGAAGGCCTGCGCCCCAGCAGTGGGGACATTAATAGGCTGATGATGATGATGATGAATTGAATCGTGTTAAACTGTATGTTTCCCAATTGAAAATAAATGAATAAATGTATACCCTCCCCTTGTACCCTTGTACCCTTGTACCCTTGTACCCTGTATGTAGGTCCGGACCGCCTGAACTGCTCGATGGGTAGATGCATTCCCGTGGGCGCGTGCTGCCTCACTCCGCACCCGCTGTGCCGGCAACATTCTTGCTGCGCAGCGCATACCAACAGAGGTAAATATTACAGATGGGCCGACTATAGTATTAGCCGACTATTTTTTTTGAAGTTATACTTCTTTAGGCGCGTTATGAAAAAAATGATGAGAGTGAAATTTTTAGATGCGCGCGCATCACTGTAACACAATAGTAACAGCATGAAGTTGGCCGCGGGCGCGTTATGAATGTTAGTGTCTAATAATGGTGGATTATTAACCACTTAGTGGTTAATAATCCACCATTATTAGACATCTGTTCGAAAGGTACTTTGAACGATCCACGGAGCTCCATAAGATGATCGCGTTGTCAAAAACAATGTTGGCACGCTCGTCGCCTCCGATCACTGTTTTCATATTTATAATATTTATCCACATGTTTCTAGTTTCTATATAGACACAACGTGTTTTAGGTACTTACAAGTGCTAATTACATATGGACTAATAACTTAAATTCAGTAGTGATTTTAATTGAATATTTTGAATATTTATTTAATTTTTCAAATTAACACTGAACTTAATTGACTGTGTTAACTATCCTTTTCCAGTCCTCTTATTATTTTATTGTAAAAATATTTTTAATGATGCTAAAGAAGTATAACTTCTCACGCGCGTACATAAGTTACACGCATCCATATTTTTGTTTTACTCACACCAATTAGCCTAGCCCCAAGCCACGGTAATAATATCATACAGTATTCTATCTTCATACAAACGGTCGGAAAGCGAGTCATACCTACGCCACTCGAGTTCGATGTTCTCTCGGCGGGCACCCAGTCGCGAATGCGCCTCCGCACCGCAACGACGACCGAACGGTCTGAATTGTTTTTTATGCAGTTAGCCGTGCTTAAACATGCGTTTTGTATTGTAAATGTTTGATTTAATTAAGTAGATACCTACATAATTTAGTATGGAAAAGAACAAACGACGATCAATATCGTACAACAGCACAATTGCTGTTTTTGGTTGCTTGAACTCTTCAATAACACACCCAGAGATATCATTTTTTAAATTACCTGAAATATTGAAAAGGTGTCTTACCTTTATAGAATATTTTTTATATACCTATCTACTAGTACATAATTTGTTTCTAATATTTAGGTATTTCGATTTTTCCATCGGGCAAAATATCTGGAATAATATATAAATAAGTGGTTAGGATGAAAAAAGAGGCAAACGAGTAATCTACCTACACTCGCGTTAAAAACAAAACTACATAAAATACTGTAGGCTGGCGGCCCTACCGCGTGCTAACGCAGCGCTCGGTGTAGGCATTTATTTCAAGGACAGGGCGGAGTCACAATACTGTATAGATAATATTACCGTGCCCAAGCTAAGCACTATAAGGCTTGTGCTATGGGATACTGGGGTAACGGATAGAATACATACACTGTACATTTAAAAGTATATTTATATATAAATATATATTAAACATCCATGACTGGAATACAAATTCTCGTATTCATCACACAAACATCTGCCCCCACCGGAATTCGAACCCGGGACCTCTCGAGTCAGCGACACCATGAAACCCGGCATACAAACCACTCGCCCAAGGAGGTCAAATTGCTGACTAGTCGGCCGACTATTCTGCAATGCCGGTAAATATTAGAGATGGGCCGACTATAGTATTTGCCGACTAATCGGTTTTTAAATTGCCGACTAGTCGGCCGACTATTCTGCAATGCCGATCATCCTAATACCTATCTTAGGAATATTTTATTTTAAAGAAAAGAATACTAGAAAAACAGATCATAGATATGTTGAATATCATTAATCTGAGATCCAGTTACGATTTTTTCAGATACGAATTTAGTTAGATCGTGATATGCCGCTAATAATGAAAAAAAAATATCGTTTTTGATACGAATTTCGATATTGGTTATTTTGTATCGATGTATCGATATATCGAATCAAAATATATTGAAAAAAAATATCGATATATCGAACAAAAAATATCGATATATCGATACATCGATATATTTTCAACAAGCCTACCAGATTAATAAATATTTTTGATAGGTCTTCACAATGCAGTCGTTAGCACCCACTAAATAGAGATAGGTCGCTAAAGCGACCAACTTCATGCTGTTAATTTTATGTGTTACAGTGATGCGCGCGCATCTTAAAATTTCACTCATCATTTTTTCATAACGCGCCTAAAGAAGTATAACTTCAAAAATAAATAAAATCATAAATATTTTATTTTATTTACTAAGACAATTTTTTTAATCAAAAAAATTCTTTAGAAAAATTGAGGGTTACCTACAATGCCAAGAGAATGGAAAATTCGACACGGCCATCAGGGCCGCGGTAGCATAAAGGTCAGTGCATTTGCCCGGATAGCGAAGGGTGCGGGTTCGAGTCCCGTCTGCTGCCTGGTCCGCGTGGATTTTTTCTAGTACAGTTCTCTTTAAATTCTTTAGATTTATCAAATCCTTAAATATAAGGTATGATAAAAACAAGTTTTAATGTGTTCAATGTCAGTACATCCAACCCATTAAAACTTGTTTTTTTATTAATTAATTTATTCATTGACGTTACATAAACATAAGCCCCAAAGTAAGCAATGTAAGGCTTGTGTAATGGGATACTAGTAACTAACGGATAGAATACATATACTGATATATATATATAGAAATATTGAGAAATACATATTAAACATCCGTGATTGGAGTACAAATGCTCGTAATCATCACACAAACATCTGCCCACCGGGACTCGAACCCGGCACCTCTCGAGTAAGCAATACCTTGAAACCCGGCGTTCATAATATATAACTAAATAAGGAGAAATATATAAGGTATGATGTTAATTACAAGCTTCGTTCCAGGTTTCGACTTAGAATGGATACCTCCGTTCGAAGATCGTCGCGCCCCAGACGACTACGGGTTCATACAGTCCACTATATATACAGTTACTGGTAAGATATTTATCTAATATATAAAATTCTCGTGTCACGGTGTGCGTAATTGAAGTACTCCGAAACGGCTCGACCGAATTTCGTGAAATTTTATATGCATATTCAGTAGGTCTGAGAATCAGACAACATCTATTTTTCATCCTCCTAAATGTTAAGGGTGGTCTACCCTTAATTTTTTTATTTTTGTTTTTATTTTTGTTATAATACGCCATACAAAAAAACATACAACCTTAAATTTTCACCTTTCTATACTACCAACCTCTACCAACCCCTATATTTTTATGGCGGTACGAAGTTCGCTGGGACAGCTAGTATTTTTTATATATAATCCTTGCTAATATTATGAAGGCAAAGCATGTCTTGTCTGTTACCTCTTCACGCTTAAAATGCTACACCGATTTAGATGAAATTCGGTACAGATATAGTTTGAATCCCGGGGAAGAACACAGGATTGTTATTTGGGAACAATACGGGATAGTTATTTGGGAAGAACACGGGATAGTTATTTGGGAAGAACACGATATAGTTATATGAGAAGAAAACGTGATAGTTAACTGGGTGGAACACGGGATAGTTATAAGTCTCATCCCAGATCATAAATTATATGCATACCAGATTTCATCCTAATCTGTTCAGTAGATTTCGTGATTGACTAACAAACGTACAAACTTTCACATTTACAATATTAGTAGAATTTATCTAAAATTGCAGAAACTTTACCTTCACAATAGTGACGATTCTGGCATGAATTCTCTAAACTTACAACTTAATTTAACACCAATTCTCTCCTTTTCATTTCGCTTTATAGAGAATGACAATGATACATTGCTGTCAAATTTAAGTTTAGGTTGATGGAAACGTGCCCGATGGCGCGGGTGGTTAGCTGAAGTTAGTTGAAGTTAAGCAACTTTCGCAGTTTTCGGTCATTGGATGGGTGACCAAAAATCTTCTATCTCTCATTCCTCGGCTGCATCTGCAGTCGTTAGCACCCGCACTGGGCCCGCGCGGTGGGTCATGGCCCAATCTCCCTATTCCATCCATAGGGAAGGCCTATGCCCCAGCAGTGGGGACATTAATAGGCTGATGATGATGAATCAAGCTCCATATTAGTATAGAATTTTTAAATCTCCGTTTGTTTCTGTTTGTCCTAGCTTGCGCCCTGATCTTCATGATAGCGGTAGTTTTGTTAGTCTCCGCTATATGCAAGATGCACATGAAGAGAGCCGCGCTACGACACTATGCCAGGCCGGATACGAGATATAACATCAATCTGGTGAGATATAGTAATATAGTTCAACACATATCGCACCTCCGGTGCGACACTGTCACTTATACAAGAAAAATGGGTGCGTGTATTTATGTAGGCGCGTGAGAAGTTATCCTTCTTTGGCATCGTTTAAAATTAGTTTTTAATTGCATGCAAATAATTAATTACAATAAATTAATAAAAAGTCTGGAAAAGGACACAGTCAATAAAGTTCAGTTTTAATTTGAAAAAATAAATAAATAATCAAAATATTCAATTAAAATCGCTACTGAATATAATTTATTAGAACATATGTGTTTTGCACTTGTATGAAACTCAAACACGTATTCCGAATATACAAACTAGAAACATGTGGATAAATATTATAAATATAAATACCTATAACTGTTACTTTATTACAAAAAATAAAGATGTGGTTTTTGGTTCTACTACACCAATGGTCAAGAGATGGCGCTGTAGTCTCCTGAATCGCGCTTTGGTTCCGTTGTTCCAGATTAATAAATACTTTTGATAGGCCTTCACAATGCAGTCGTTAGCACCCACTAAATAGAGATTCTATTTCTATTTTGTTGGTAGATTTTCTTAATGTGCGGTAAACACAAAAGTAAAATTTTGTGTTACAGTGATGCGCGCGCATCTTAAAATTTCACTCTCATCATTTTTTCATAACGCGCCTAAAGAAGTATAACTTCAAAAATTATAACATGTATACATGTTGAGAATTTGACATACTATGCCAGATCGGAAACGGGATATTAAACTAAATTAAATATTTCCAACACTCACACGAATTAGCCTAGCCCCAAAGTAAGCACTGTAGACGCACATTGACAAAGTTTCATACAAACTTTAATTCCCTATTTTATCCCCTTGGGGGTAGAATTGATCAAAATCCTTTCTTAGCGGATGCCTACGTCATAACATCTACCTGCATGCCAAATTTCAGCCCGATCCGTTCAGTGGTTTGGGCTGTGCGTTGATAGATCACTATGTCAGTCAGTCAGTCACCTTTGAGTTTTATATAGATTACATTGATCATTCTTTCCCTGTACTCTATATGTATTTATTTATGGTAATACTACAGGGTGTACAGCGTCACCGATTCCCGCCTTGTTACGAAGCCGCGGACCTGTTGGAGCAGGCTGCCCACGACCCTCCCAGTCCATTGAACGACGCCAGGGTGAGTTCCACTATACAATAAACACTAACACACACAGAGTCGATAATAGGGTATTTGACAAGTTTTAGAAAACGATCTCACGTTATTTACTATTGTTTATAGAGTCCAAAAAAGTGAAAAATGGATATTCATCATTCTGTTGTGTATTTCAGTAAAACTCTATTTTCATGTTGCCGCGAAAAACGCATCTCTGGACAATATGGCGTCTCACTGGTGTGTGATGTCACACGACTGTCATTAAAACATCAAACCTTACAATCAAATGTCACTTTAACCGGAAGTTTACTTGCGTGTGACGTCATTTTAGGCTCCGCCAATCCCAAGCGTTTTGGGTCACGTGACAATAGACAAGAAAACTATTAACTTTATAGTGGGTTTTTAGTAAAATTATGATTTTTTTTTTCTGGCAAAATAGTAAAAACTCCTGCCAATATTCATACTAAATACAGATGCTAATAATTGGCACTTTATTTTTAATACTGTCAAATACCCTATTTACTTCTTTTTTGTCCTCTCCATCCAAAGGTTGTCTGGAAGAGATGCTCATAGCGATAAGACCGCCTATTTTGACACTTTATCCAGCCATTATCTACAATGTTTATATTTTTTTTGTGGTGTATAATAAAGAGTTTTTATGATTATTATAATTAACTTTAAATCAGGGCTTGTTTCCTCATTTGCAGGGCTTGTTTACCGGTTAATTTTCAAACCTAAATCAGTATCAAGTACACTAGGAGTATTTTATTAAGGTTTGGCTCTACCTTAACCTTAAAAAAACCGGTTTATCTAACCGAAATTAAATAGGTTTTGAATCAATTTAGCGGTTTTTAAAGGGTTTAATTTCACTATTACTGACGGCATCGCCTTCGCCGTTTCAATTCAAATTTATAATGATTTTATGTCAGTTTCTTTCCAACTACAGACCGAGTGAGTGAAGTAGTGTGTTAGTACACAACTACAAAATTAATAACTTGACTCACTAGACGCTAGCAATCGTGTCAATAAATGCATCAATCTCTGAGCATTAACAAGCTGTCTTGATTAGTTCAAACAAAACAAACTTCAAGCGATGCCGACGCGTGCACGTGTCGCTTTGGATTAAACCGGTTTATTAAGGTTTTAGGTACCGCTTTTATTTCGGACGCGCTCCGAACGAAACCTTTACTAAAAACCGGTATTAACCTTTATTTACCGGTATTTTCGAAACCGGTTACAAGCCCTGCTTTTAATTGTGATCAGAGTTGATGAAGTCATTTTCGTTATGATGCAACAAGAAATAAGTTTATTAACCTTAGTTTAATAGATACATTAATATCCCTAATATTAGGTTAAAATAAATATTTGCTTACATCAATAACTACTTTAATTATATCCATAGAAAAGTTTTACTAGAAAAAAAGGCTAGAAGAAAAAAAACATCTAGCTAACGGCTGCTTAAAAATAAAATAAAAACATAAAAACTACTTCAATTATAATTTGTTTTTACCAACCTAAAAAAATAGGGAAGATGCAATATTTTTATTTTTGTTTTCATTTTAAAGAATTCCATGTAGAATAAACCTCAAATATATTAAAAAATTAAAACATTGTTGTAATTTATCGGAAAAAAGCGGTTTTAAATCAACAGTTTAAATTTTCGCGCGAAAACGGACCTATGGTTCCGATGACGTCACTCCTGTCTGTCACTGGTCGTACTTGTTTGTCGCTGGCTTTCATACTTTTGCATATTTTTTCGACTTTAGAGATATTTTTTTGTAAAAATTTAAAATGGACTATCCATCAACATCAGGTGATCATAACAATACCACTAATATTCCGAAAAAAAGCCGTGTTGACTCATGTTTTGTGCCAATGTTTCCATCTACTTCAACAAAATTTCGAAATAAATTGTTTTTGACTTTTGATTGATATAATTTAATTGACCCAAAACTGGAAAAAGTGGTTTCAAGCTGCGAAGAGAAATGACAATTATTCTCCAAAGACCATTATTCGATGCTGTGAAGATCACATTGACTTAATAAATCGGCGAATATACTTGTTATATTATTATGCTTAATTAATCTCCTTGTTCGTAAAAACGCGTTAGTAACCTACCTAATACTTACAAAACCTGTCTATAACATATTTTTAATTTTACAGTTGGAGAATGACGTCGAAAATAGGATAAAGTTTAAAATGTGTGGCACACTCTACACATTGGCAGGACTGAACCAAGCTTTGCGCTTCATTTAAAATAACTGTAACACGATAACTTTCTTTACGTACTTTATGCTCCGGAGTAACTCGACTTTTTATTGTTCATAATTCTCCACCTCTTTTTTATTTGGACATAACCGATTGCGTTATCGCCGTAAGATTCTATTGTTGAGCTGAAATAGCTTCTATGTGTAGAAGCCGCTGAATAAAATACAAAGTTTAACAACTATGATTTATACATACCGTAGTAATGCACTCTGTACTTTGGAAAAAAAAGTTACATGGCAACACTAACTCTTGGTAAATTCCTGGAGTCTGCTTTAATAAAACCAACTTCCATTTTTATCAAAAAATGCAATTAATAACCTCAAATAAGGTGTCATAACAGGAGTGACGTCACTAAACGCTGATTGGTGTTTTAAAATACGTTTTTTTTTTCAAGTAATTTTTAATTCGTAATTATTGTTAAAAAACAACATTATGTAAAATAAAAACGTTGCAGTAGCCTTTCTTTTATATTTTTTTAACATTTTAAACATAAAATTTTCATAAATATTATATTTGCATCTTCCCTATTGTTGTCTTAGTTTACATTAAGATTTATTAAACATTAAAATTGCATATCCCCCCTTATTAGTTATTAATTAGTTGTATTGTTGAGTTTCCTCTACACCTTTCGAGAGGATGTTGTTAAATGATAGTATGGTGATAAATTGATAACACCTATTATGTTGACACTGTTATGTTTATGTGACGTCCGAATGTCAACTGATTTGCTTGCACTAATACAATTATATATTTCATCATCATCAGCCTATTAATGTCCCCACTGCTGGGGCACAGGCCTTCCCTATGGATGGAATAGGGAGATTAGGCTATGACCCACCACGCGGGCCCAGTGCGGATTGGCGGGTGCTAACGACTGCAGATGCAGCCGGGACCAACGACTTAACGTGCCTTCCGAAGCACGGAGAAACTCGAGATTGTAAATTTTTGGTCACCCATCCAATGACCGACCACTGCGAAAGTTGCTTAACTTCAACGATCGCAGCCGAACGCGCTAACCACTTGCGCCATCGAGTTTCTCTTTCTCTTATAGCTAGTAAATGAAATATGTATATGTACATACATGTATATACATACAGATGGAGCTAAAGAAGTTTCACTTCAGTCGTGTGGTCATAAGCACACTTGCTTTTTTTCTAGTACAATTTTCTCTAGATTTAAACATCTAGCAGTTAAATGCTTAAAGTATAAAAATATTCAGGGTGTAAAAAAACCTATGACAAAGACTTAAACTACGCATCCTGTACACCCAAACAAGACATATTACAAAATATTATACGTGGGAAAAATTTGTATTTTTAAGTTAAAAAATACATATTTTTCCAGTACACAATGTATAGCGCGGCACTTTACTGTGGCTCTACGCAAAGAATGTGCCTGTGTGTATGACTGTGCGTGTGTGAAAGTGCGTCGATAAAAAAAGTTTCTAAATAACATTTTGAAAATATCTAATATATAAAATTCTCGTGTCGGGGTGTTTGTGGTTAAACTACTCCGAAACGGCTTTCCCGATTCTCATGAAATTTTGTGTGCATATTGGGTAGGTCTGAGAATCGGACAACATCTATTTTTCATCCCCCTAAATGTTAAGGGTAATCCACCCCTAAATTTTTTTTTTCAATTTTAGATATTTTTTTTTATTTTTTTATGATACATCATACAAAAATACATACAACCCTAAATTTTCAACTTTCTACCACCAACCCCTATTTTTTTATGGCGCTACGAAGTTCGCTGGGTCAGCTAGTTAATGTATAAATCTTGCAAAAAATATTTTGACTTTGATCTTTAATATTTCCATAACCATAAATTTCCCAGGTATGGTCCAGAAGAAAAAAATGATCGTCATGATGTGGAAAATACGTGGCCTTCGACTTCGTTATAGGTTTTTGGAGTTTACTCCTTAAGAATCGATTTGCATATATAAGGGGCCCGGTATGAGAAAAATGTGAGGAGTAAAATCTATCGATGAATGACCTCGTTACGTTTTTGGTGCGCATCCTATGTCGCGCAACTTTGACAAACAAAGATGACGGATTGACATTAATAACCATAAACCACTTGTCACTGTAATTAATAATGCAGACAATGTTGATTTAATTAATATTTAAAAAAAATGATAATAGTCTGATAATAATAATTACATAATTTATCAACATTCCTAATGATATATTTATGCACATCTGAAATTGACTATTGTAAAAAGTTTAATGTAAAATATTTCGTCGATTAGTTATAATAAATGTATATGAAATGAATAAATATATATTTATATATGTATATTATTTTCATTAATTTGTTAAAGTAAGTAAGTATCAATCATTTTTAAGTTAAATAAACTCTTTTTGCGTCTGTTTAGACTCTCGAACTTTAGGAGTAAACTCCAGTCGTGCGACGGAACTGACACACACAATTTTTTTACACCCTGTATATCGTTTAAGCGCGTTTTGTTTTGTAAAGGTTCTCGTTGGCCGGATATAGACATACATATATATACATATACATATATATATATATATATACTAGCAAACCAGTGAACCAAATGTTCACCAAAAAAAAAAAGTATTTAATTAATTGAGAACTTCGGAGATTTTGTGTGGTTTCGTTTGAAATAGTAATCACGTGATTTCTCGAAAACCGGAAGTGCTACGTTACTCACATCCGGTTTGTAGTCTTATCAGACTATTCTCAACTTATAACTTAAACATTCTCTTTATCTATCTCTTACGGTTTGGCCGCTGAAACAGCACCACGGACGGACGGACGGACGGACGGACGGACGGACTTGTCTAATAGATAAGAGATACTTTATATAGATTTTTGTTAATATCAGTGTACGGAGCAGCTGTCATCTCCCAGCCCCACACATAGCGAGTGCCGGAACACAAGACTTTCGGCGCTAGCTTCCGTATTCAGTTCCCGGTATCGACAGGTGAGTATTTATTTATTTATTTAATCTTTAATGCCTTTACATTGCATATGGCGGACTTAATGCCAGCATGACATTCTCTACCAGTCAACCGGAAAGAACGTGCAGAGTCAATAAAACGGCAGACAATCATAGGAAAGAGCAAACATCAAACAATGAAAAAACAAAATTAAATAGCGTTTAATACATACACATATACATACATACAAACATAAATATACATACATACACACACATATATACATAATATACCTATAATATAGTGTCCGATTTTAGTATCCTGATTCAACTTAAGCACTATGCAATAAATTCAAATAATGTTCCCGAGTATTTTTTTTTATGTAGAAAATGAGTTTCGCATCAGATGTGTGCTCCGTGCATACTATTTTTTTATATTATCAGAAATCAATATATCTTTATTCAAATCACTTTTTAATCGTTCAAACATTGTTTTCCTTACCACTCGTTATTGGACATATTTTTTAGCTGCGGAGAAAAACGAGCGAAAAACCTCCACAACATTAAAAGTATAATGTAACAACATTTACAAAGCATTATGTTGTTACAACGTCAATACAATCATGATTTATTTAATATAGAAAACCTGTTGGAATGATTGGAACAGTTCAAACCCAAGCATTTTTGTCTGTAATATAATCTGACATTTTGTAATAAGCTTTTTTAAAAAGTCCTTTTTTATGCCATCTTTGAATTTATTTATGATTTACTCTTGGATATTGCTCAGGACTTAATTATATAAGCAAACACAAAGACCTTTATAGGAATTATTGATTTTGTGAAGCCTAGTAGCAGGCAATAGGGTTATGTCATGAATCGTTTGGTAATATGGGAAAACTGAATCGAAATTACCACTCAGTCATAGAAATGGATAAATAAATTTCATTGCATTTTCTCACCCGGTCGGGATTTTTGTACCTTTTTATTTACTTTTTTTTAACTTATTCTTAAACACAATGTTATCTTACACTTCCTACGAGATAGATCAAAATAATGCACTACAGTACTGTACACCTTAAAAAGGTCTACAAAAAAGTCCGCGATGGTATATGTCTACCTCTTAGGGATAACCCACAATAACCATTTTTTATCCTATATTTTTACGAGAAATAATAGATTATATTTACGAAGCGATTTCAGTAATATAACATTAATCCTTATCCAATTAAATAACTTAAATACATTGTGCATTTAATATAGAACAATTTGGCCCTTTAACGCATGTAATTTAAATGAATATTTTCGAAGATATTATAGATTCCAAATGCAGGGGTATAGCGGTTCCGACGCTACCGGGCGTGGGGCCTGGCGGCGCGTGCCTATTAGGTATTAGGAGAATGCCATTGTGTATAATTGGGATGATGACTTATTTTTTTTCTTCGTTAATCAGGTAGATTATCAAAAAGTATTGGACACGTAATTTTTCTTTTTTCACGTAATATAAACATTGCAGAGATATATTGATTTGAAAAGTCGCATGACGTCACGGTTTGATACACTTTTAAGTGAAAATTCACTCAAAAGTGACGTCACGAGCCCCCACTCCCAGACTTTGACGCGCTATAACTTTTTTATTTTTTGGTTGATTGCCTAAAGAAAAAATACGTGTCCATTATTTTTTGATCATCTAACTGACGGACTAAATAGAATTTCGTTTACTGTACCCCGTCATCACCCCAATACAAGCCTGAGAACAAAATCTATAGTCTACACTACAGCTCTACACCGAAGCGAAGCGGGGGAGGGCCGCTAGTTTTATTATAAATTAAAAGTGTTATCATTAAATTGATTACCCAATAATATACCCGTAGGTACCCACTCAGTGCACCGAAGTGGAAATGGTAGCGGTGTCCCCACCCGCCCCGCCCTCCCCCATCAACAGTGGGGCCGACGGAGTCAACGATAGGCACAGGTGAATATCGTATTCATAACAATCATTTATCGTCATCTAAATTATCATCTTTCTTATCCTCTTTCTCATCCTAGTCCCCATCTTCATCCCCCCTCTGAGAGTTCCTTGGTTTGTCAACTTGAAATGCAGCAGAAGGTTTATTGTAACAGCTTTAAGATTTCGTTTTGGACATAATCCATCCAGGAAAATATGGTTATCTTATGAATTAAGGAAAAATGAATGAGGAGCTCGATGGCGCCAGTGGCTAGCGCGTTCGGCTGCGGTCGTTGAAGTTGAGCAACTTTCGCAGTGGTCGGTCATTGGATGGGTGACCAAAAATTTACTATCTCTCATTCCTTCGTGCTTCGGAAGGCACGTTAAGCCGTTGGTCCCGGCTGCATCTGCAGTCGTTAGCACCCACCAATCCGCACTGGGCCCGCGTGGTGGGTCATAGCCCGCACTGCCTATTCCATCCATAGCGAAGGCCTGTGCCCCAGCAGTGGGGACATTAATACGCTGATGATGATGATGATAAATACAATTTTCACATCACCATTTTTAGTACCTATATAAATCATAATATATTTATTCCCACACAGATTGACACTACAATTAGGGAGATTCCATCTAAGCATTCCATCTTTCCGACGAGACCCACGCCCGGACACGCCTAACGTGGCCGAAATCAACATAGACGATCTAGATTTCGTACGACTAAACACTAACGACACGTACACATTGAACGGTAGAACAATCCGTCTGTTGAACGGAAATTTCGAGAACATTCCAGTATTGAACAATCCGCCACCTTACAACGAAGCCATGAGGTATAAACTTTACGGCCCGCCACCCGAGTATTTATCTAGCGATCGGTTGAATAGGAATACAAGTGAAGAGAGGGCCAGAAGTAATATCGAATTGCCACCGGGCTATGAAGAGCTGGGTGTTAATGGCACCGATGCGGTTGGGGAAGCGTCGAATTTGCCAGGATCTAGCTTTTATTCCGCTAACGCTAGCAGCGGGAATTGTTCCAGAATGATTTCTGGAAGTTTGGCTACGAATGCTGAAAATTTGTCTGAGAATGTTGAAAATACACCCGTCGCAAATGTTGGTAATGTGTCTGGAAATGTTGGGAATGCGTCTGGAAATGTTGGGAATGCGTCTGGAAATGTTGGGAATGCGTTTTCAAATATTGAAAATGCGTCTGGCGTTGTTGGGAGTGCGTCTACAAATGTTGGAAATACGTCTGATAATATTGATAACCCCATTGAAAATGTTATCAATGCCAATGAGAATATTGGAGATGCAAATGTTAGGAATAACATCACAAATATTGACAACGGTCCAACTAACAGAAATCGAGTATTATCATTAACAAATATTGATAATACCACAAACAGTACAGTTTCAAATATAGACAACGCTTCTATCGACGTATCTAATAACGCAAGTTGCGATACGAACAACGGAAATGCCAACGTTAACGGAAACAGCACGATCAACGTAACGGAAGAAGATGGTAACAACAACGAAACATTGAACTCTGTCATAGACAATCTACCGGCCATAGACAGCGATGTGAATGCAAACGACGAAGTGATCGGAGCTTATGTTGTCGCGTAAAGCCGCCATCTTGCCATAAGGTCGGTATTTAAAGAATACATAACTATGTTTGGTCAAAACTTGGTTTATTTCAAGTTCTTAAAGTCTGTTAATGTGAATTAAATGCGCACTCGTTTTTCTTCTTTATTTTATCATAAAGACTTATTTAGTAAATTTATTTTTTAGTTTATAGCAGTCATGTTTCGATGACGCTTTGTTGACAAAATAATTTGTTGTTCAAAAATAAAAAAAATCAGTTTTGTTATTCTTGGTGTTTAACTAAATGTTGTTTTAAATGCTTCCAAATAAAATGTTTGATTTTCCAAGACTATTTACTAAATAAGTCAAGAAAGAAAAATAGTTTTAAGTAAGGTAGAGGCACCAATGATCGATCTTTTCTTCTGTGATCAATTGAAATAGGAGTTGTTAGTTTTTATAGCTCGGTGTTACCATATTTAGTGATCAGTTCTATTGTAATTAAACCTGTAGCGCCATCTTGATGTTGACTTACAAATAATGTACTCGTCACTATTAAATACCTTTATAATTTAATTTTTGCCGGTTTTACCTCCATTGCTCTTATTTTCGTCTTTTAAAATCTACTGTAATCAATAAACCTCTTAAAAATATACTTAGTTTAATTGCTTTTATATTAAAAATAGTTTCAGTAAATAAAACAAGTTTCAACGGGTTAGATGCGCTAATTTTATTTATTTATTTGACGTTTTCTCGGAATATCATTATTCCGACGACGCATTTCTGGGGGCCAATCGCCTAACGGAAATGCTTTGGAAAACGTTAACGCCTTCGATTTTATTTAATTATTTCTGACCGCCGAAGGTTTTCAAATACCTCACGCTCATTTTCTTTAATATTGTTATTATCAATGCAAAAGAAAAAAAAAGCGCGGGGCATTCGAAAACCTCAGGCGGCTAGAAATAACAAAATAAAATCGTAAGCGTTATCGTAGGCGAATGGTCCCCTGCAAAGGATTTGTAACGTCAATAAAGAAATAAAACCGTTGAAATGAGTGATGGGCGTGACAACCTAAGGAATAAATAGCTTCAGTACTCTTCTGTTCATTGATCATAGAAAAGAATGTCGATCATCGATTCTCACCGGTCATTGGTACAACTACCTTATGTATTATATAATTATTTTGGCTGCTCATTGTCTAGTCACCGTGAGCGTTGTAAAGATCTTAAAGTTTAGAGTATTCGACTTAATTTATATATAGTAGTAACTATATCGAACAACAAATAAATTGTTTTAATTAATAAAACATAAAACTGGGAGCTGTTGTTGACATATGACGTCACAAGTCCGTATTGCTGTCCTTGTCTGATTAAACCTTTCCGATCAAAGGGAAAGCGCAATTTTGTGTATTTATTACTAAAATATTTTGTTTTAATTGATAATATCACTCAAAAAACTGAAAACTGTCGACGTGTGACGTCACAAGACAGTATTGCTGTCCTTGTCTGATTAAACCTTTCCGATAAAGGGGAAAGCGCAATTTCTTGTATATTTCACTAAAATTTTCGTTTTAATTGAAAATATCAGTCAAATACTCTTATTACTGTGCTACAATTAAAAATTTCGTCTTATTAGATAAAGCTGAAATTTAGTTTATTGGTTATTATTCATGTATTGTTTTTTTATTATTATATAAATAAACTTGTTAAGAATTTATCGATATCGCTGGTTCGATGGCCCACCTCTAATACTCAAGGGCGTTAATTGAATTGAAATTAGTTTAACACAATGTATTTTGCTAGATCATAGTGCCTTAGAAAAAAACAAAATATATAACTAACATAGGTAACGGTTAATAGTTAAATAAGATTAATAAATAATGTTAGAATTGTACATTTTTAGATATTTTAAAAAGCTTAATTTGACAAATTGTTTGACAAACCTTTTCACGCCTTTACAAGCTTAGAAATCTGCTAGTTGAATTGTTAATCATATTTCCAAGCACATTTAGCGTTTCATATAACATATCCATATTATAGAACAACACGCAATGTTATAACTTGAAAATTCTTCAAACGATTTTCAACCTTAATGGCTGGATTCAAAGTTTAAAGTCGATTGTAGAATTACAATTTCTGTTGCCCATATATTTATCACAATTTTATTAATTGCAATTCACAGTATGTGTAGAAATTCGATGAAGTGTGAAAGTTTTCGTCTGGAGACTTGCCTATTCGTATTTGCTATTCGTATATTTGATAGAAGTTTATACTTTTTATGCTCTACAGTCCCTGGTCTGTAAATGGCAGATTTCTGCCAATGTCAAAAAACCCCTGTCTCTGGAGAGCAGATTTCTGCCGCGAGTTGATAAAATTATTTTCATTTTTCATATTTTTCGTTTTATGTATGAATTTACACATCTAATATATAGATAAGTCTGTAGAGAAACTATCCAGGATTGATTTAAGACATAAATGAAGCCTGGATGTACAGAAGAACTCGAATAATAACAGGAAAATTGACCGGAAATTAAAACCGTCCATGACTAACAAAATAGGGGGGGGTTTGAGCGCCATATTGCTTACACATTTGAGGGGATATTTAATGAAAGGGAGAGACTGATGTCAAATTTACAAATAGCGAATACGGAAATCCATGTGAAGTGCAAGCGTGACAGTGGTGACGTCACAACATCGCGGTTTGATTTTAGACATAAATCTCTAATAATAATATTCTAAAGATTGTGTCATATCGACTTATGCTTACAAGAAGTATTGTGGAATGATATTTCATTCATTTTGATTTTAAAAATTATTTCTCTATGACAATTAATAATATTATTTAAGTATTCGGTTTTCGGCCGAATATAATAAAAGCAGCCGAATAGTAACCGAATATTCGTTGCATGTCTAATATATATATCTAATATATAAGGGTATGGTCGCCAAAAATTGTACAAATATCATTTTCGTTTTGTCCCCATTTTATTTTTCTCATAATTTCGAAGTTATTTGATAAATGTCATTTGTTGAACATTGTTCTGAATGACGAGCTTCTGTTTAGATTATTTTGACGAAATGTAACCTACCATCCCTAAAAAATATATGTAAAAAAAATATAATTTAAAAGGTAGTGCTTTCACTCCCATACAAAAATTGTTTGTCCAACTACCACCTTTGTATCAAAAATTGCCAATAATTCCGAAAAAAAATAGTTTTTTTCTAATTATTAAATTGTACTCATGCTTTATGATAGTTTCTCAATGTGTTTCTAAACGTGCTTATTAAAATAGCGATTCAGTTACATATTTAATCGTTTTTAAAAAAGTGTCCAATTTTATGATGAGTGTGTAACGTCATGAATGTAACGTTTGTTTCTACCAGTTTCCTTTATGTGATTTGATATTTTTTGCTATTTTCTTAAACTGCAACACTATTAAGCAAGATACAACATTCAGAAATAAAAATCGGCCATATTTTTCCGAATAAAAATCGTAATTTGTGTTGACTTCAGATTTGTCGCCAATAAATATTGTTTTTTGTATGTTTCATTGCAAGGTAAGTACTGCTTGTTGTGGTATACTGTTAACGTGTTTAGAAAGATGTATTATCACAGAAAACGGTAACCCTACGTCACAATCCGTAGTTGTTTGCAGTTAAATGATATTTGAATTTTAGGTCATGTCGCACGCTTTTTTGTGTCATGAATGTTACAATGTGTAACGAAATGTGTAACGTTACAATCATGACCGATTCTAAGGCGGAGATTACACTATTTTACTTAAAATATAACCTTACCGCGACTTCGTCAGAGTTAACTTTGGTTTTTTGAGAATCCTTTGAATGTTTATATGTTCGTTACTCAATCACGCAAAAACGGCACAATGGATTTTGATGAAGTTTGGCACACATTATATGTGTATACTATATTGAGTAACGAACATACAAACTTTCACATATATAATATTAGTAGGATGAAATTAGTTAAAAATATAAATTCCAGATGCCTTTGAGAAATGCCGAAAGGCAAACAAAATATTGTGAAAAGTTACGAACCCAAAATCATTCGAAGTACGAAGAAATAAAATCAAAAAATGCAGAAAAAAAGAAAAAACCACGGAATGTACCGAAGACAATAAAAGATTGAAAAGAAAACAGTGGCGAGTCAAAATCGTCGCAGAATGAAGTCAAAAGATATTGCGAAAAATGATAATATCACTGAAGTGTGCTGAAACTCATGAAAACACATTCTTGGTACGAAAACTACAAAGAAGATGGGCTAACCAAAGAATATTATATGAAGAAAAAATCTAAAGCCAAACGTTAATCAAAAAAATATAATATCACCACCACAGGCCTAGAACTATTTAGTACCAGTAGAACTACTACAATTAGTACAGTCAATCTGTAGGTTGAGTGGTGAAAAAAAAACCTAAAGGGTAAGTCTTGTTTTGTCTGTTGCCAAATGACGTCAGTAAGCCACCTTGGCGATGGGCATGTTCAACTCGTAGGCGTTTTTTGAAAAACTCAAAAAAACCGTCAAAATTTTTTTGAAACGCATTTTTCTTGTTTTGTATGCATTTTAGAAACTTTTTTTTCGACCATAATTGTAGAGGGCGTTGAGTGCTACAATTTATGTCATTGTTGCAATCTCGTACAACAAAAAATGCTCATTGTAGGTGGCGCTAAAGTCTAAAAAAAGTGTTTTTTCACTTTTTCACCCTGAAAATATCATTTTAATGGAAAACTTTAGATGGCAAAGTTGTTTCGTACATAATTACCAACAACTTTTGTATAAACAATTTTTTTGTATTACTTACCGTTTTCAAGTTATAAATTGCGCAGATATGAAAAGTCCAATAGAGCGGTTTTAGGCAGTTCAAGTACACATTTGCAGTGCACATTTCAATGTACGTTTTTACCATTTTTTTTTCAATCATGAAAAAAAATAAAATTAAATCTATTTTTTTTTCATTTTTTTTTGTTTTTCAATCATGAAAAGAAATAAAAAATAGTAATACGTACATTGAAATGTGCACTGCAAATGTGTACGTGAACTGCCCAAAACCGCTCTATTGGATTTTTCATACCTACGCAATTTATAACTTGAAAACAGTAAGTAATACAAAAAAATTGTTTATACAAAAGTTGTTGGTAATTATGTACGAAACAACTTTGCCATTTAAAGTTTTCCATTAAAATGATATTTTCAGGGTGAAAAAGTGAAAAAACACTTTTTTGAGACTTTAGCGCCACCTACAATAAGCATTTTTTGTTGTACGAGATTGCAACAATGACATAAATTGTAGCACTCAACGCCCTCTACAATTATGGTCGAAAAAAAATTTCTAAAATGCATACAAAACAAGAAAAATGCGCTTCAAAAAAATTTTGACGGTTTTTTTGAGTTTTTCAAAAAACGCCTACGAGTTGAACATGCCCATCGCCAAGGTGGCTTACTGACGTCATTTGGCAACAGAAAAAACAAGACTTACCCTTTAGGTTTTTTTTCACTCAAACGATATTTTTTTCGACAGATTGACTGTACTAAATAGGTTCTATTATGAACTAAGCTTTATGATGGTCATGTATGTAACGTTCTGTCATGTACGTAACGTGTGTTACGATGTCATGAATGTTATTTGTACAATTTTTTGCGCCCATACCCATAAAATTCTCGTGTCGCGGTGTTTGTGGTTAAACTCCTCCGAAACGGCTTTCCCGATTCTCATGAAATTTTGTGTGCATATTGGGTAGGTCTGAGAATCGGACAACATCTATTTTTCATCCCCCTAAATGTTAAGGGTAATCCAACCCTAAATTTTTTTTTTCAATTTTAGATATATTTTTTTTTATTTTTTTATGATACATCATACAAAAATACATACAACCCTAAATTTTCACCTTTCTACCACCAACCCCTATTTTTTATGGCGGTACGAAGTTCGCTGGGACAGCTAGTATATATATATATATCTTTCCACAATACTCTTGTAAGTTTGGCATATTTTAATGAGATCTAACTAAACAGCATTTTTGAAATGCGATCAAAGTTCAAATATGAAAAAGTAAGTGCTTTTCGCGATAATCTGTTATACTTAATTCCCGACTATGATAGTATGCCCGACTATGATAGTGTGTCCGACTATGATGGTATGCCCGACTATGATAGTATGCCCGACTATGATAGTATGCCCGACTATGATAGTATGCCCGACTATGATAGTGTGTCCGACTATGATAGTGTGTCCGACTATGATAGTATGCCCGACTGTGATAGTATGCAATACGTGCACTCACTAAACGAGTAACGAAGCTCTTAGCTTAGCACCAAGCATGACTCATTGTAGTAACGTCTGAGCCTTAGCAGCTACTTGAGAAAACAATATTGTCAATATTACACTTGCTAGCAAAGATAGCGTTATCTAAGGATTTTTTTATAAAATTATATATTTTGTTTTCATTGGCCCATCGAATACAAGAAGACCAATAATGAAACTGTTATCAAGGTATTCTTTTATATTCAATTGAAGTAAATAGCTTTTTTATTTTATCTTTATTTTATTTCGGTTACAATTTTACTCTCTTGCATAGCTTTTTTGCTCGCAAGTGTATTTTTGACTTTGGTTGAAACAACATAAATACATTACACATTATACTTATAAATAAAACTAGTTTACATAATGATATCAAGTAGGTTTTCAATAGATAAAATACTATTTTTTCAATACATATACTCAAATTAAACATTATATAATTCCACCTCCCCCCAATCCTGAAGTTTCGAATAATAAGCTATTCGAGAAGTGTGGAAAAAAGTCGAAGAAATATTTTTACAAAATCCATTGAAAACCTATCTGCCGTCCTTGTTTAGCTGTATTGAAGTGACAGAGAAGAGAGAAAGAGAGCTTGAGGAATGTCTACCTCCACGTTTGTATGCGACCAAATATATTGAAATAGTTGAAATAGTAATATTTTTTAAATAGTTAATTGAACGCACGGTGGTAAAATATAACACTTAATTGGTGAAAACATTATGTCTTTTGCTTGATGGAATTTTGATCTATTTATTACTTCTACAGTCATATCTGCCCTTTATGTCATCTGTCTATTTCGGCATTAATTTAATCTAAATTTAAAATAAGACTGACATTTCAAACCCATTTTTATCGACTTTCCGTAACTGATAACTAACTTAGTCTTAAAAATGAATTTGTTTATATTATTAACAACATTGAGGAGCTCGATGACGCAGGTGGCTAGTGCGTTCAGCTGCGATGGTTGAAGTTAAGCAACTTTCGCAATGGTCGGTCGTTGGATGGGTGACCAAAATCTTCTTTCTCGAGCTCCTCCTTGTTTCGGAAGGGACGTTAAGCCGTTGGTCCCGGCTGCATCTGCAGTCGTTAGCACCCACCAATCCGCACTGGGCCCGCGTGGTGGGTCATGGCCCAATCTCCCTATTCCAAATAGGCTTGTACCCATACTGCTGGCAGTGGGGACATTAATAGGCTGATGATGATTAACAACATAGTGTGTTACAGTAATACAGGTCAGATTCCCCTTTTAAGTGTGAGGACACTTGTATCAGGGAAAGCCTTTCTCCCATACCTTGAAGTGGTTTTATAAAATACAGCCAGTGCCATGTTAAATGAGAATACATAAACATTACTTATGCTAAAAGCATCTCGTACATGTTTATTACAAACTAGCGGCCCGCCCTCGCTTCGCTTCGGTGTAGAGCTGAAGTGTAGACTACAGTTTTTGTTCTCAGGCTTGTATTATACACAATGACATTCATCTATGATTCTTCTTATACCTGCATGCAAAGTCTCAGCCCGATCGGTTTAAAATTGACAAAGTTTCATACAAACTTTCATTCCCTATTTTATCCCCTTGGGGGTAGAATTGATGAAAATCCTTTCTTAGCGGATGCCTACGTCATAACATCTACCTGCATGCCAAATTTCAGCCCGATCCGTCCAGTGGTTTGGGCTGTGCGTTGATAGATCACTATGTCAGCCAGTCACCTTTGAGTTTTATATATATAGATGATGAGTACATGCAAAACGGAACCAACCGTTTTGCTCAATGTGGTAAAGTTACAATTACTTAATTACCAAGCTTTCAGTTTCATGTAAAGAAAGAAATAAATTTTATTAACCTTAAACATAGTAATATTAACATAAATAAAACAAGCCAAGTTAGGCCAACCCTGTCTCAGCTTAATACTACAGCAACACCAGGCTGCTGCAGCGCTGATAATTCTAAGACCTAAGGTGATTACACAGATTTTTTAACACAATAATAATATACCAATAGAAATAACCATACTAATTAATACATACCTATCAAAAACTAATTATAACAACATAGGCAGATTGTTTTTTTTTATGTACACATTTTGATCAACAAAAATGGGTTTGAAATGTCGAAAATTGCATTGTTATTAAAAATATAGTATGTGGTAGTTTTCTGATAGGTTTCCACAATCTACACAATCATTTTAATGTGGTTAATTTCTCATTACGTAGATTATAATTTTTGTGTTGTATTTTTCTGCCGTGTGCTTAAAATCGATACAAAATACGAGTAACAAGTGTAATATATACTTACTTAGAAATATAGTTAAATTTTTAAATAAATTACTTCTAATTTGTTTAAAGGGCGTTTACTTTAGCTGTTTAATATGTATTGGATCTTGTTATGCGAACATGACCCAATCTGCTAATCGAACAAAGTTATTATCCTATATATAAAATTCTCGTGTCACAATGTTAGTTACCATACTCCTCCGAAACGGCCTGACCGAATGTTGTGAAAGTTTATATGCATATTCCGTGGGTCTGAGAATCGGCTACTATCTATTTTTTATATCCTTAAG